CGTGACCATGCAGGTGTGCGCCTTGTCTGACACTCCTGTCTTTGCGCGGTCTTCGGTGGAGCTTGCGTGCGGTCCGCTCCTGAAGTGTGCGAAGCTTTGCGCAAGGAACCATTCCCCGAAGAGCACCTGTCTGAAGAATATTGCTCAGGAACGCAGAGGCCTTGACCGAGGCAGAGGACTCCCGTGTGAAGTTGGATGCGGCGCTTCCACCTACGGCTGACAGCCAGCGACAAATCGTTTCTTTCTTGTCGGCTGTAACCGCAGCCCTCGGGGGATGGAAACAGGCATTCAACGCACGGAAGGAGAAAGCCGAATTAGAGTTCGAGCAAGCAGCGGACAGTTTGAGGAGCAAGGTCGACGCGACTTTCGAAGCCATGGCTTTCAAAGGCCACCCCAGGGAACGAAGTGAAGATGGCCTTGAAAAATTTTGCCAAGGCTGAAGCAGCTTTGTCGTCGGTGAGTAGCAAGAGCTTGAAGCTGCGCGCGACCACAGACTTGAAAGAGCAAGCGAAGGTGCACATGTTGCGTGGGGCGCGCTAAGGCTAACGCTGTTTTTGGATCCAGCCATCAAGCAAGTGGGCAGCAAGGGAGATTCCTTGCGCCGCGCTTTGTCTGATATTTGGGCACAGCGTGGCGACAACGAAGGCGTGCTTTCTGCCCTTGGGGAGGATGTGGCGAAAGACATCGTAGAAACCATGAAGCCAAAGGGAGGGGAGGACAGCTCGCAGCCGAAGAAGAGGGCCAAGCGCGCAAATCCGGGAAAGCAGTGATGTCGAACAATTGAGAGCTCTGCGCGGCTGCCAGCCAGACCAATTTTGATCGGCAGACATTTTGCAGTTGCGGCTGTCAGCCAGAAAGTTTGCCTCGTGTTTGGCGGTTCACCCAGGCCCATGCCCATGCGCCCATGACAGGGAGCCGACGGAAGGAAAATGCAGCTTTACAGCCATGTAAACTGCAACCCATGGGCTATGCTATAGGCTATAGGCTAGCAGTGTGTCCCAGCGTATTCCACCAAAGCGTTCAGACAGATTCTCATTCAACTAAGATAGAGAGCAGTCGTAGTTGGAGATTTGAGCGGCCAGTCCGCTGAACGCCAGTATCAGCAACCGGACTGTTAACTCTGTCAGTGAGCCATGCGAAGTGTGTCTTTCTAAGAGGAGATGACCTTAAAGGGGCGGTGGGGAAGCCTACCAAGCAGATCGAACTTCCGCCAAGCTATGCAAAAAAGAAAACTGTAGAGAAGTAAAAGTTTCCAGAAATTCAGAAATCATACATTTTCAGGAAGTTTTCAGAAGTTTTCACCAAATAAATCCGACATTGTTCACAAAGCGTCCGGCTGCCAGCCAGAAGTGGAAAGTTTACACTTGCGTTGCAAAATTCGCCATGTAGCCCCGTTTTGGCTCTCATCTCGGCGCACCAAAGCAAAAACATAGCCCAGGCTACCCACATGCTGCTTTTCAAATGGAAACACCATCAGAACAGCAGATTCGGGGAGTGGCTGGTCGTGCTGGATGATGGGCGGCTACTCTTTCGGCGCATCACCCGCGGCAACAATGTTGCTTGGGACGGCCAGGGCCGCTTTGAGCGGCTGGACGGACCTGGACCTCCTCTTCATGCCTGACCCTGTGCGATCTGTCTTTGGTGAAAGTGTCTGGACTGACCAAGAGCGCCATCGGTCTGCTTGGCTCTTTGGCACAGCATCTATTCCAGAGCTGACCTTTGACAACTTGGAGCAGCAGATTGCTATGCCGCCAGGCCAGAAAGCACGTGCTTTGAGGGCGCGTTTGTTGGCTCCACCTCCGGCAGCGCCCCCAACAGCGCCAGGACAAGATGATGATGATGATGATGATGATGACGATGGGTATGTTTGGGTGTAGGCCGAGGGTTTACGCTATTGGAATCGGCCATTGCCTCGAAGCCCCTGCAATGCATCTTCTAGGGCCAGTTTACAAGCTGATGCTTTCGAAGCGCGTTGTTTGATTGGAATCAGGGCGCTTTGGGCAAAAGTGGCCTGAGTAGCAAGAGCATTACGGGCTTTCCGGCTGTCAAGCTGTTAGCCAGATTCCGTCGCGGCAAAGGCCAAGGCGCTCTGTGCGGCTGACAGCCAGCCAGGGCGAAGAGAACTGCGACCCGAAGGGAAAAGGTATCCTGTGTGGGCACCCGGGCTCTTTGCTGTCTCCAGCCCGTGCGCGCTTCACCATAGTGCGCTTTTGGGGCTAAGCGCCCAAACATAGTGAGCCGCTTGAATCTGTGAGGGTTCTGACTGAATGTTGAACTTGTTGAACGCGCTCCGGGCATGCAGCGCGCGCGGGGCAAGTCAATCTTCAGCAGCCTCAGCCTCAAGCATAGTATTATCTAGATTTGTATGGCGGCTTCTTCTAACCGGCTGACAGCCAGCTCAATTTCCGCCAATGATGTTAAAACAAGTAAAGTTCTATAGTTCTATTTTCATAAATTTCCGAACTTCCGCCAAACGATGTAAAAAAGTAAAGTTTTCAGAAATTCAGAAATTGTTAATTTCCGAGTTTCCGCCAAATGATGTAAAAAAGTAAAGTTTTTCAGACATTCGGAAATTGTTAATTTCCGACTTTACGCCAAACTATACATAAAATTGAAGTTTTTCAGTAATTCAGAAATTGTTAATTTCCGAATTTCCGCCAAACTATGTTAAAAAGATTTTTTTTAGAAATTCAGAAATTGGTAATTTCCGAATTTCCGCCAAATGATGTAAAAAAGTAAAGTTTTTCAGAAATTCGGAAATTGTTAATTTCCGACTTTCCGCCAAACTATACATAAAAGTATAGTTTTTCAGTAATTCAGAAATTGTTAATTTCCGAATTTCCGCCAAATGATGTGAAAAAGTAAAATTTGTCAGAAATTCAGAAATTGTCAATTTCCGAATTTCCGCCAAAAGTAAGATTTTTCAGAAACCCGAATTACCGACTTTCCGAATTTCCGCCAAAACGAATTTCCGACAAGCCTTGAAACCCTCTTACAGACTGTAGGTCTTGGATTCACCTAATATATACACATATATCTGATTCAAATGTGGAAAATGGAGTCTGATTCTGTAAACGAAACCCTCAACATCCCTCAATAAAGCAAACTCGGACTCCGGGTTGACTGGCTTGAGTGAAGCGCACCCACGTTTAGGGGCCTTTGTTAAACATTATTGCTTACTGCTTCTTCTGGAAGCAACCTTGATTACTTTTGAATGGTCGGCCCGTAAAGAATCAAGATGTTCAAGGTCGAGGCTGAATTTGAAGGGGATGTACCCGCTCTTAAAAAAGGAACTCGGGATCGCCCGAGCCCCACCTGAGATGATAGGCTTCTTTCATCTTCTTTTTTGCCGACGCCTTGATCTCTTTGGCTCAAGTCTGATCGTGGCATGCTGCCTGTTGAAAGTCTTGCACGTCATTCTTTCATTTCTATACTCCTGGCTATTGATCCATGTGTAATTGGGGAGGCCTTAATGAAGAAACTGGCAAGCCATGCACACATGTGGATCAAGATGATCCTGTCGTGTCCCATACTAACCAAGAAGAGGCACCTTTTAAGCATGACACACCCTCGTCTCTGTGGGGGCTTATGGTTTGGCAGTTGGCACGAAGTAGGACTCCAACTTCTGCCTCTCAGAACCAGAGCGATCACTCGCCATTGGGTGACATATTCTACATTCGCTTCTGCGAATGCGCAGGCAGGTGGTTTTTTTTGGGTGCCTATCCTGGTGGCCGTGTGATCCTAGTGATCCTCAAATGAGAACCAATGCAAAATAAAGTTGTACTTTACAACACTTTGGAGAAATCATGTTTGTAGCATTTTTGTTTTGCTTTTTCAAGAAGGAGTTCTTTTGCCTTTATTGAAAAAACAGCTTAATGGAAAATACACATAGATGATGATAGATTACAGTTTGGTGCAGCAACAATCATGATTGACGTGCAGCAAACTGTAGTCGACGAACCACAAAAAGGCTGGTGAGAAAGGCCTTCTTGGAAGAAGCTTACCAAGCTGGCAAGGGTTTGTTGACTCCGAAACGGTAACAAGGACATCATGCTCCCAACCTGTTCTGTGAGTGCCTCCCTCTATTTGATGGTGCAACATACAGTCTAAACTCTTTTGTAAGCAGCTGTTGAAATATCGATGGTGCTTGTTCAAACTGCTGTAGGGTGCCAACCTACAGGTGTTGAAGCTGTTTGTAACATCCATGGTGTTTGTTCACGCTGCTGTAGCAACCTGCAGGCAATGCAGCTGCTTGAAATGTCGATGAGACTGCCGTAGGGTGCCAACCTACCGCTGTTGCAGCTGCTTGTAATGTCAATAGTGCTTGTTCAGACTGCTGTAGGGTGCCAACCTACACGTGTTGCAGCTGCTTGTAATGTCAATAGTCAGACTGCTGCAGGGTGCCAACCTACATGTGTTGCAGCTGCTTGTAATGTCAATGGTGCTTGTTCAGACTGCTGTAGGGTGCCAACCTGCACGTGGTGAGGCTGTTTGTAATGTGCATGGTGCTTGTTCAGACTGCTATAGGGTGCCAACCTACACGTGTTGCAGCTGTTTGTTCTGTCTATGGTGCTTGTTCAGACTGCTGTAGGGTGCCAACCTACACGTGTTGCAGCTGTTTGTAATGTCAATGGTGCTTGTTCAGACTGCTGTAGGGTGCCAACCTGCACGTGTTGCAGCTGTTCGTTATGTTCATGGTGCTTGTTCAGACTGCTGTGGGGTGCCAAACGTGTTGCAGCTGTTTGTGATGTAAATGGTGCTTGTTCAGACTGCTGTAGGGCGCCAACCTACACGTGGTGCAGTTGTTTGTAATGTCCATGGTGCTTGTTCAGACTGCTGTAGGGTGCCAACCTACAGGTGTTGTAGCTGCTTTGGAATGTCAATGGTTGGACTAAGTCGAAGTGCAACAATGAGAACCCACACCTGCTGGCTTTGGTTTTTATGGAAGGTTCCTGGTAGACTCAGCACTCATGGGAGATAGTTCGTTTCTGTCGGAGGCCATGGACGCTCAAGATGATCCATCCTGGCCCATCCCAGAGGATGCCGCTCCAGAGGTGGCTGCGTGGGGTGTGGCGATCGCGTTGTTGGTGCGGCGCCGTGCATGTACACCATGCACTATGGACCATGGAGGTGTCACACTCTCAGACTTCACCATGTAGAGTAGGAGGTAACGATGAGGGGCAACTGCCAAGAGCTGCGACTTTCCCCACCTCGAACATCCCATTGACAAGATTTTCTGATGTGAGAGATGGCGACTTGCTCCCACTGCTGCAGGTGGCACCGCCGGAGATGTTACTTGGTTTGAGGTTGGTCGGAGGCTCGTGTGCGGGCTAAGAGCAGGGAAGAAAGAACGCAGCAAATGAGACTTGATTCCCTCCAATCAGGTCAAAGGACCCAAGCGCCAGGTTGCTCCCCTGCGAGGACATCAGAAGTCTCGGGCCAATGAGGCTTTCAATGGTAGTCCAGTTTCTTTCGTGTATTTTCCCGAAGGAGAACCAGCAGCTGACACAGCCCTTGGAATCCAACCGAAGAAGACAAGCTTCTGACGCCAACATGCGGTACAACCCGCACGCCAAAAGTTCCTCAGCGTTCTTTGGTCCGGCGAGAGTTTGAGCTCAGCATGTGGGTCATGAGTCAAGGCACGTGAAAAAAACCAGAGGTGACTTCAGACTATGGCCTGATTGTGGCCACTCTTATTGGCTGTCTTTGGTCTGCATGTCCTGTCCTCTTGTGAGGTTTGCCCACATGTTCGAAGAAAGATTTTCAGCACCTTGGCTCGACTTGGAGGCTGGGCAAAGGGGCGAAGCAACCTTCACGACCCAAAACCGTTAGATGTAGTAGCGATGCCCTTGGTTAACCAGTAGCGTCCTTGCTCCTGGAAAATGGCCCCAGAACCTCGAAGGAAACCATCCAGACCCGGTGGACCCAACCAGCGGGCTCAACGCCGCTCTCAACAGCCGCCTGTCCCTGGTCTCAACAGCCGCCTGTCCGAAAAGGGCGTTCTTGTTCCTAGGAGCCCCGAACGTAGCGTCCTTGCTCCGTTCGTAGCGATGCCAGGAGCCCCGAACGTAGCGAACATAAGCAACAGGGCCTCCGAAAAGCCGCCGAGGATCTGCGACGTCGCCAGCTCTCGCAGGCCAATGGGGTGGGGAGTGTTTCACTGTGAGGCGGACGAAGAAGGCTATGGCTCCAAAGGAGAACTGCTGGGTCAAGGGCCGGCGATGACAGCCTTTTACCCTGTATCTCTCCTTGTCCAAATAGCAGGGATTGCGTTGAACCGACTGACTTCACCTTTGGCTGATTCTGGGACAGAAGGAGAGCCGCACACGAATCCACCATTTGGCCACTTCGTGTAGTGGAGATGAGGAAGAATAAAGATAGAAGAGCAAAGACCTCAAGAAGGTGGTACCACAATCGCGGGATTCATGGTCTTGGGATGTCTTGGGTAGGCCCCACACCAGGAAGCAGCAAGGATGGTAATCTTTGAAGTGATGACTTGACAATCCCAATGCCGCAAACGAGGCCTTCATGTTCCGATCAGCCCAAACCAGACATGTTCAGGTTTGAAGGTTTTGGAGCGCCTGTACCGCTTTCGGCGGACCGCCTGTTCAGACCTCTTGTTCGGTGGAACACCCCTGTCCTCGCACCAGGTGAGCCTATTGTCAGAACCGCCCACCAACTTGGCCCCGGGCACGCCCTTGGCCGTGGCGGTCTTTTTGGCCGCGTGGTGCGCCGTTTCGGCGATGTGGTCAGACGTGTGAGATCGCCACCGTGCAAAATCGAATCACTGACTGTGAGGACTGCAATCGGGTTGTGGTTGGGCAATGCCAAAAGGTCTCCGAAGAACTTAAGATATAAAATGATATAAAATGCCACCGGCTGGCAGCTTCGGGGCTGCTTACCTGCCTCTCAAATTATGACACAAAGGAATGTGCTGGCAACGTTTCACTGCCGAAGTGTGTCTCACACAGAAGAAGGGCCACTGCCGTGGAATTGTTCCCCCTTTGTGAGGGGCTCTCCATCTGCGGGTCAGCCAATCTAGACTTTCGTTTGTACGGCATTGCAAAGCGCCTCTACCAGGACTTGTCTGCCAAGGCAAGGGGGGGAGGTACCAGAGGAACAAAGGAATGCAGCATACTGAGGTGGAGGTCTAAGAGTCTGCGGAATACGCCCCCGCCCCCTCCTGGTAGCCTCTGATAAGGTTGTCAAGTAGAGAAACATCCTCTGTGATTGGCAATCTACAGCTTGCAGGCAATGCCACTCCGCCTTGTTCTTCTTACTTTGTCCTTTCCCCTCCTTATTGTCCTATGTTCCCTCCCATGTCCTAGTTTCCTGGAGTGCCCCCAAGGTTCGGTAGGTTCGGCAGCTTGTTCTTTTCAACCAAGCTCCCTCATTTTGGAATGGTAGGTACGTGGGCTACGTGCTGGTGGTCATGTCTCAGATGGGCAGCATCTCACATACAGCTCCAGCGGCCCCATTTGAGTTGGGCACCAGAGAGCTGGCAGACATACAGTGCTTTGGCTTTGCAGAAAGGGCAAGGACCTCACCTACCAGACTTGGCTTGTACCATGCTTGTCCGAAGATTTGTTCTAACTTGCAGTCGATCAGCCTCCAAGGGCTCAGCGGGTTGCACGTCAGCTGGTACATTGAGTAGTAGTAGTAGTAGTAGTAGTAGTAG